AAGTAATAATCAGTTCTAAATATTATATTTTACTTGGTTTGTCCTAATGAATTGAATTGGTAACCTTTTTAAGAAAAGCCTCCAGGTAAAATGTTAGTTATTTAAATTAGATATCTGTGTTTAGCAACTACCATATTTGAATATAGTTTTAAGTATAACTATTCTGTGTAATCTAAAGTAGAAAGTACTTTGCCCTTTTGTGTACATGTGAGGGGGGTGTGCATGTTTGTACGAGGGTGCTCACCTAGGTGTGTGTGCGTAGAGGCCAGAGCTGAATGTCTGATATTTTCCTCTGTGATGCTCTTATGTTTTCAGACAGGATCTCTCAGTGACCTGGAACTGTTGTTTTGACTAGGCTGGCCAGCCAGTGAGCCTCCTATTGCTGAGTTACCAGCACTGTGGTTACGAGCTCATACTGCCATATCCAGCTTTTATGTGGGTATTGGGAATCAGAACTCAGGTCCTTTTGCTTGCAGAGAAAGTACTCTATCTGCTGAGTCTTCCCCCCCCCCAGCCCACTTTTGTCCCCTTAAACGTACTAAAACTAAAGTTTAATAATTTGGAAAAAGATAAATTATATTTAATTTCTTCTTATTTGGCAGGCAACCAGATAAACTGGTGGTAGTTTGGACAAGAAGAAGCCGAAGGAAGTCTTCTAAGGTGTGTTCTAAATTTCTTATCCACACTTTGAATTGAACCTTTAGTGAGATTGAGCATCTGTACTCCTGGTAAAAAACATTTTAAAACATTACTTGGTATTTTGCTTTTTTCTGATTAGCTAATCTACTGAAAATGGATTGATCAGGCCTTGAAATTGTTTAACTGTTGCTTTTAAAGTGGGAGTCAAGAGGCCTGAGTTTTCTATCTTGAACTTAATTGTTACTATGTTTTGCATGTTTCCTCTCTAAAGTTCAGGTACAGTCAGTGTGGTAGTGTTACAAGGTATGGGCCTTTAAGAAGTAACATTTTAAAGACATGATTAGACACCTGGCAGGCGTGGTGGCACAAGCCTTTAGTTCCAGCACTCAGGAGGCAGTGGATCTCCATGAGATTGAGGCCTGGTCTACATAGTGAGTTCCAGGCTAGCTGGATTACTGAAGACCCTGTCTTAAAAAAAAAGATTAGGCCATGAGACTCCTGTCTTGAGTTTCTTCATTTTTGCTTGAGTTTCTTCATTTTTGCTCGTCTTCTTTATATCTTGTGAGGATGTGGTAAGAGGGGCATCACCAAATGCTGACATCTTGATCTAGGACTTCCTAGCTTCAGGAACTGTGAGAAGGTAAGTTTCTGTTCTCAGTAAATTACCCCAAGTGTGGCATTTTGTTATAGCAGCACAAATGAATGGAGAGCTTAGCCTTGAGCCATGTAATAGTTATTTCACTTCTTTGTACTAGACTGTTAGGAACCAAGGATTAAGCAGTTATTACTTTGTTAAGTGTAGCTAGGATGAATAGATTCAGGTTCCAAGAGGGGAACTTCAGGTACACTTAAGGAGTAATGAGTTGTCTGACTTCATTGATGGATGTAGAGGAGTTGAAATTTTTCAAAGATAATTTTTTAAAATAATTTTTTAAAAAAAGAATTTGTTTTAAAAAATATTTTATTTATGTGTATGAATGTACTGTCTCATGTATGAAGTGCACCTGTATTGTGCAATGCCCGTGGAGGTCAGAAGAGGTGTCGGATCCTCTGCAAGAGTAGTCAGTGCTTTTAACTGCTGAGCCATCTCTCCACCACCTTTACTGATATATTTTGTATGTGGGAACTAGAACAGAATTTTAAAATGTTCAGTAACGATTCTATGAATATTAAAAAATTCTTTTCTTTAGATATATTTTTGTAAGCTTACAACAACTGTGTAAGCATAGTTATTGGAGGTTAGTTTTTGTTTTTTTTTACAGTTAGACCTATATCAAGAATAATTTATTAAAATTAATTTAAACCTAAATTAGAAAAATTATTAAAGTGCACCTTTTGAAGGTGGTTTTATTTGTTTGTGTTAGAGACAGTGTCTTGCTGTGTATTCCAACCTGGCCTAGAATTTGTGATCCTCC